CTCTTAGCACTGCTAGGGCATGCACAGGCAGGTGGCAGGGGCTTAGAAAACTAAACACACCTTTTATCCCAGCACTTAGGAGGTAGAGGCAGGCTGATCTCCGAGTTCATGGCCAACCTTGTCTACTGGTGAGTTTCAGGACAGCCAGGGCTTTATGGGGCCGGGGCCGGGGCCGGGGCTGGGGCTGGGGCTCAAAAAAAGGAAGACTAGTCAGGTGATGGTGGCCGTACACCTTTAATCCCAGCACATGGGAGGCAGAGATAGGCTGATCTCTTGAGTTTGTGGCCAGCCTGCTCTACAAATAAAGTTCCCAGACAGCCAGAGCTGTTACACAAAGAAACCCTGTCTTCAAAAACCAGCGGCAAGGGACAAAAAAGAGGCATGACACACACAAAAAACAAACTGATAAGATTTGCTATTACAAGGCAAAACAGATCTTCAAATTTCCTGCTTCATGGGAAAGTCTGCTGGATACTATGGACCTGTAAGCTGAAGATAGATGCCCCAACACTACAAAAGAACTTTGGGTGACTGTCCAGGCAGCATGATGTCTCTGTCACTTCTAGAGTTTTGGAAGTTGCTTACATATACTTCCTGTTTACTTAGGCAATATTATATCCTTCTGGGGTTAAATACAGTTAAAGAGTTAAACACAGTTATAATTTTCTTTAATTGTAGTAAAAGATAAATCATATATAAAACTTTAGACTCACAAAATAAAATGATAAAATATTTTCTTTAATTTTGTCAAATGCAAATAGACTAAATATTGTAACTAATTCTTGCTTGATACCTGTTTTATTATATGTAATTTTACTATGTTAAAGTTAAAACCCTACTTTTTCTTTAGACAGAAAGGGGGAGATGATGTGAGAGATCCTTCTGTATATGTGTTGCTTTTATTGGTTAATGAGTAAAGCTTTGCTTTGGCCTATGGTAGGGTAGAATATAGCCAGGCTGGAAGAGATATAGAGAGAGTAGGTAGAGTCAGAGAGATGCCATGGAGCTGCTGAAGGAGCCAGATGCCATGTAGCAGCTCAATAAGCAAGAGGTAACAAACCATGAGTCTTGTGGTAAAATGCAAAATAATAGAAATGGGTTAATTTAAGATATAAGAGCTAGCTAGAAATACGCTTGAGCCATTGGCTAAACAGTATTGTAATTAATATAGTTTCTGTGTGGTTTGGATCTGGGTGCCTGGGAAACGAACTACATGCTGGTATGGTCTAACTGTACCCGTGTGACAGCATTGCAAGGCAGGACCTGTGAGGTGAGGAGGCTATGAGGGTGCTTCCCTCATGCACTGGACTGAAATGTGAAAAGTGGTGTCCTTCCATATTCCCTTAGCGTGTCCTGGCATCTTCCACTCTGTAAGAACACGTGTGTCCCTGCTGAGACACCGAACTGCTCTGCCCTGTCCCCAGTTTTCTGCTGGGAACAGAAGTGTTCATTTGGAGGTGCACAGTGTCACCTGCTGCTGAGTGAACCCTGTGTACACTGTTGACTTCTAGTATCATGAACTGCGGGGAACAGGTTTACTAGTTCCAACAGACCCACCTCTGGAAGGTGCAGCCTGGGAGGTAGGGGGCAGGGCAGTGTGAACTATCTGTACTTTCTGCTCAGTTCTCTTATGAACCTAAAATTATTCTGAAGAATTAAGTCTATTAATAAAACAAATGAAAAAAGTCACACCTGCCAAAGTCAGCTCCCCAGTGGCGATGCCATTTTGCACTCCTAGTACTAAAGACCCCTGCCCTTGGTATTTCAGTGCTTCTTCTTTGCACCTGTTCTCGAAGGTGAGCTTCTGTCTATATTTCTTTGTAAATAAGGACATGGACATCTCTTCAGGTGCCTTTTATCCCTGGAAAAACTCTCTTCCTCTCCCAGGTAAAGTGCCTAGGCATCCCTGTGCCACTTTGTTGTGTTCAGGGCTGTGAGTCAGCATCCTCTCTCGCCATTAAAGGCTCATAGGATAAGATTTCTGGGTTGTTTTGTTGTTTCTGTTTAAAAATGCTGGGGATCACTCAGTCCCTGGGTCACATCCCACGTTTGGGGCTTGTTCTTTTCCCACAGGACTGCTAGAATTGACGGAAGACGACATAGAAACCATCCACGGTACAGTCCACATAGGTCGGGGGCCAGGGTGGCCACTGCAGCCTGCCCAGCGTTTCTCCCAGTCTCCTCTTGAACTTTTACATGGGTTCTAGTACAATCTCACACATCCCAGGGGCCATATTTGTGAGTTGCAGTGCAGGGACCCAGCATCTTTGTGGGCTGCCTGCAGCTGCCTCCTCAGTGCCCTCAAGTGGAGTCTCCACCTTAGCTGGTGCGTGGAAAGCATAGCAGACGCCATTCCAAGTGTGTATGTGCGTACGTGCGTGTGTGTGTGCGTGTGCGTGCAGAGCCACACTCTTCCTGAGCCACCCTAAGTAAGGTTCCTAGATCCCAACACCCTCGGCATTCATGACCTGGAGGAAGCCCAAACCTGGTTTTGAAATGCCAGTTCCTCATGACTATCAGTGGCAGCTTTGACATATGACTTTGAACATTTACTTGCTGCCACTTGCCTGGAAGCCAGGTTAGATTGTCTTCTATTTCTCTTTTCCTGTCTCAGGGCCCATGTAGTGTCAGCAAGCCTGTGTTTACCTCAATCCACCATTCTGGTCTCTGGAAACACAGATTCTTAGAAATGAGGAGGTCTGCCTCAAGGTATATGGTGGCACAGCACCACATACACACACACACACACACACACACACGAGCTGTCAGCTCCAGGTAAGTTTGATTCATGTGGGCTTTAAAGAGCACTGGCTGCTCTTCCAGGGGTCCAGTAAGGTTCCCAGCACCTACATAGTGGCTCACAACTGTTAGCAACTCCAGTTCTTGAGAATTCTAGATACCCTCTTCTGGGCTTCACCTGGCATATGAGTGGTTTATACATACATGCAGGCAAAAACACTCATACACATAAGTAAGATATGAACTACAAAATAGAGTTGGCCATGTGACTCCGTGGCGAAGCCCTGCTAGGTGTGCATGAGCCCTGGGTTGATCCCTCACATGGCAACAGACAAAACTCACACTTCAGTTTATGAACATAACATCTTAATGAAATGACAATTATATTTTCCAAGCTGTCCCTCCAAATCAATTAAATCTTTTAATTAAAAATGATTTTTAAAAAAATTTTATATGTGTTTTTCTCTGGATGCATGTCTGTAAAACGTGTGTACCTGGCGCCCACAGAGGGCTTTGGAGCCCATGGAACTGGAGTCACAGACAGTTGTGAGCTGCCATGTAGGCGCTAGAAATGGGACCCTGGAAGAGCAGCCAGGGCTTTAAACCACAGAACCATTTCTCCAGCCCCAATTAAATCTTTTAAGTTGGTCTTGAACGCTTGGCAGTTTTAAGCCTCAGCCTTTTGAGGGCTGGCATAAACAACCACACCTGGCTAAACTGAAGGATTTTTTTTTTCTTTTAGTAAAAAGATGGAAACTGGGCCAATGAGATGAGTCAGCAGGTAAAACTAGGCAAGCCTGACAACCTAAGTTTGCTCACAGGAACCCCCAGTGGAAAGAGAACCAAACACTGAAAGTTGTGCTTAGAGCGCCACAGGGAGAGAGTCCAACAAAAAGACGACAGATGCAAAGGTGTAGAATTTAGCGCACCAGAATGCCAGACAAATTAAAATGAGCATAAATGCGTCTTAGAGACAGGTCTCCCTCTAGCTCCAGCTGGCCTGGAACACGTCTGTCTCCGCATCGACATCGGAGTATTGTTAAGAGAAAAAAGCACTTTCGCCCGTTTGTCAGAAAAAGCTAAGGACCCCACGTGTTTCATACATCCGCAGATGGTAAACTGAAGAATGCCGTGGGAAGCCAGGGTTTCAGCACTGCTCAATCCCTAGAGAGGGATGGCGGACGGGCCTGGGGCCACCCGGTGGGAACTACTGTTCACGCCCTCAAAACTGTCAGAGATGAAGCAAAGTGGTGCGTGAGAGGAAAAACGTGAGGACCCTTGGGGTTCACATTTTACAGGCACCTCTGCCCTCCTGGAAGGCAGCTGCACCCACCTGGCTAGCTCCGTGCAGCCCCTAGACCCTCCGTGGTTCGTGAGCTCGCTCTTGCAGAGTCGAGCAACCCCCACGCTACCTTCCCGCCACCCTCTGCCCGGGGCAGCCTCCTGTACTTTGCTGTGAGGTATGTCAAATTAGCACAAAGTGACACGAAGCTGACACTCTGCAGCTCCCGCGTCAGGAGACTACCTCCTACCTTTTCAACCACGTGACTGTTATGGCTCAGGCCCTGACACCTCGCTCACCGAATAATGCAGGTCAGACAGGCTGTCTTCCTGCGGGTGTGCAGAGCGGGCTCCAGGCAGAGCCGAGAGGGTGACCGCCGGCGGACACCGGTCCCCGGGTGCACGTCAGCCAGCTCAGCCCGACCGGCACGTCTGTGGACCACCCGGGCCTCTACCCTGCAGCGCCGCCCCGCGGGGGCCTCTGCGAGTCGGCGGAGGCCGGACCGTCGTTCCCGGCGCCGCCGCT